TGACAAAAATGAGGTGTCTATTTACTTGTGACCACTCAGTGTATATACCTTACAACACTGTATGTTGTAGCCCAGCCAGTCCGAAGATCTTTGGCACGAATGAAATGCAACATCATACAATAAATATGGTAAAGTTGAAATACTCTGCCGTTATACACACTTCTAATTAAAAGCCTGTGCCAGGCCAGTAAAGGAAGATACAAGTTAACCTTTTATGCCATGTACTTTGAGTCAGACCTTTCAACCAGTGGCATGACCCTGATGAATATCATCAGCTAAGAAAACCTTAGGTACGGTTTATATCAATAAAATGTAATTCAAAAGATGCAATTTGTTTCAGTGATTATTCAACACAGTGACAACCAGTAGCTACAAAGATGTATAAGGCAATAATTCCTCGCTTGCTTTCCGACTTGGATGTGTTCGTAAAAATGAGGCTTCGTTAATCAGTAGTACTTCCACTTGCAATCGAGGGTGAGTCAACAGTACATAAACGTTGGTGTCTCACTGAGACTGTCCTCCAGTGTAGTTACTTTTTACTGATTACCACTTACTTTACTTACCACTGATTTAGTTGATTATCAGTCTTAGCATGATGAAGCGTCACATGTGTATTACTGCTAAGTCTGATGATTATCTTTGTGAGTTACATTTTGGAAATAATTTATATATAGGTTCATGCAATTATGAAAGTTTTGAATGTCTCAACGTGCAAACAAAGTGCACTGTTTTCCATTATTTCCACGAAAGTCATTCTTTCACCACTTGCATCCCTCTGACTTATAAGTCCTTGGTGGCTCCAGGCCCCCTTTCTTTTAGTTTTATGTACCTGAAGCAAATACACCATTCCAAGGTTGTTGTTTTTATCCATTTTCATCATTGTAAAATAAAATTATTTTTTACATTTGATACTTGCCAAAGTAGTAGTTTTTATGATTAATTTTATGTTCCTAAATGATGCTGTGTGCAGAACATATAAATGGCCAGGGAGTATCATGTATACTGATTATTCATTTTTTGTTATAAAATATTTTTGAAATCTGAAAGTGGACAAAGATAGATTGAATTGGTAGGCTTATATTAGATTCTCTCTCTCTTCCCCTCTATCAGATGCTCTCATCCGTGATTTTTATGATTGTGCAGTGGTTTGTTGCAGTTTTCCTTAGCATCACTGTTTAGTTATGATAATGTGTAGCACTGTGCTTAATAATTGTTGCACCATGTGTTTTTACAGTCTTGCCTAGTTAGTATTCACAGTATTTGGTTAAGGTAATGATTATTATTATGTGTGTTTTATTTTCTTATTCAACTTTGTTTGTGACACTGCAAACTGTTTATAATTATTGATTTTCAGAATTAAAATACTTTTGGATGAATCAACTTGTTGTTCTCAGTTTGTTTTTAAAAAGTATAATAATGTGTATCAAATTTTATCACATTTTGAAACATAATTTTGGACACACTTATCAAGTGATCTAAATGTGAAAATAGTGTAACTTTTGAATTTCAGTAATCAACACAAGATTTGTCAACTGTAAATAATTTTTTCATCCAGATATTACAAAATCTATTAACTAACAAATATGAAATATTATTGATTTTTCAAACATTTTGAGGTAAGTGGCAAGAAAATTTCTGTTAACTGGTCATTGTTGATCACTTCATATCACTGTTGCCCACTTCATGAAACTGATTAGCTGATTACTGTTGCACACTTCATGAAACTGACTAGGTGATTACTGTTGCTCACTTCATGAAACCGATTAGCTAATTACTGTTGCACACTTCATGAAACTGACTAGGTGATTACTGTTGCTCACTTCATGAAACCGATTAGCTAATTACTGTTGCACACTTCATGAAACTGACTAGGTGATTACTGTTGCTCACTTCATGAAACTGATTAGCTAATCACTTTGTTGACTTCATGAAGTTTACTTAGCAGTTTGTTAGGTGTTTGCTAAAAGTATGTCTTCTGTTCAGTATCTGAGGATTGAAAGTTACTCAATAGTGTGTTGGGTGCTCGATAAAGGTATGTCTTCTATCCACTGTCTAAGGATTAAAAACTTACTAAATAGATTGTTGAGTGCTTGTTATAAGTACGTCTTTTATTCACTATCTGAGTATAGAAATCGTTTTCAAGGAATAAAAATAGTCAAGTGGCTTTATCAAGGAATATGAAAAAAAGCTATTAACGTTACTTATGCGAACGTTTTAAAGTTATATCAGTTTAGGAGCACAAGTCTCAGAGTCTGTCAGTTTTGACTTTATTGTTTTTAAAAAACTTTGTAAAGAGACAGTTTTGGTATCTTTGTGAAAACTGTCCTTCAAGTTGATTTGGAATGTTGATGGTTATGTGTGCAGCATTTATTTAGGGAGGAATTATATACAGTTTAAAATGAAAAGTTACCAGAGTCGAAGTACTGCAAGAAATGAGAAAGGACCTGTCTCATCACAGTTGTATGTTTTTTTGTGTTATGTCTAAGTAGATTAGTTACAATAAGATGGTTATGTGTGCAGCATTTATTTAGGGAGGAATTATATACAGTTTAAAATGAAAAGTTACCAGAGTCGAAGTACTGCAAGAAATGAGAAAGGACCTGTCTCATCACAGTTGTATGTTTTTTTGTGTTATGTCTAAGTAGATTAGTTACAATAATTTTGGTTATTTTAATGAACTTAAGAATTTGCCGATAAGTTTCTTAACTTTATTTCTAAAGAAATGTTTGTGCAATATTATTCTGATACATCTGTTTTATTTTTTAGGCCCTTCTGATAAAAAGTTAGAGAAAAAAGACACAGTGGATCTAGTAGGTTTTCATTTGACTGTTTATTTTTGGTACTATAACAGCAAGAAAGATTTTAAATAGCACCTGGAAATACTTCAAGAGGGATAAACGTTTGTGCATCATATGTCATAGAGTTCAAACTGCAGACAAGTCTGTTTAGACATATGAGAATTGATCAGAAAGATGGATACTTACTGGCTGTGTAACCATGTGCTCTTGGTTTACAAAAGATAATTTCTTTAGCACCTTTGTTTATTTGATAACCTATAATGTGGGTACACGCATATATACCCACAAAGACTATCAGCAAATGACACTTTCTTTACATCTTTAGCACTTCTTTTGTTTATTTGTATTATGTGGGTATATACATATATACACACAAAAACTATCAGAAAATGACACTTTCTTTACATCTTTAGCACTTCTTTTGTTTATTTGTATTATGTGGGTATATACATATATACACACAAAAACTATCAGAAAATGACACTTTCTTTACATCTTTAGCACTTCTTTTGTTTATTTGTATAAAGTGGGTATATACATATATACACACAAATATTGTTTCTCAATATCTTTGGCAGTCCTTTTGATTTGTGCCTGATCTTTATTATTTTTTATATGTTATTATTATATTTTTAATATAAAGAATATTTTCCATTGTGATGTTATTGGAATGATGGCCGAAAATAATGCCAACAATGAGGGCATCGAACTGATGCTACAGTATTTTCTTTCTTTATATTTAATTAGCTATAGTTAGTACCAGATTGAGTTTTAGTCATGATCCATATAGTTGGTTTGCTTTGATCACAAGTTAATATTAATCCTACACCTCAATAAGCTACAGTATCTATTCTGCTCAGAATATCAATAACAAATAAATTCAAAACCGAAAGGGCACAAGTAAAATATATACTTGCTACGCTGTGATTGTATTCCATGATGAAACAGACTAGTAAACGTAATGTATCTGTTTTTGTTGTTTCTCGTCACTTTCTTTAACTACATCAGAGTTACTTCACAAAAAATAGTATTATCTATAACCTATCTTAAAAACAAAAACTTGTGTAATTATTTAATTGATGTTGAGATTTAGTGAAGCTCACAGTGGGTGAATTAGTGTTTATGTTTTAGTAGTGTTAGACTCGCACAAAATTAAAATTTAGAGTGTAGCTGTAAAATAAGTCTTCCTTTTTTTAATTTCAAGTTTATATTTGTTGACATTTAGTTACAGAAGAAAGGAAGTGATTCCATTGAGCTCTGCAGTGGCTCATTGGTAAGCTTGAGGGCTTATTATGCTAAAAACAAATAGTTTTTCCATTGAGTTATAATCTAGAAACATTTTAAATGGGTTTTAATACACAATGTGTGTGCGTGTACATAAATAAGCATTGAATGTAAATAGCCGTGTTTGTCAGATGAGATGTTTTTAGCACATTAAATGTAACAATTGATTGGTAGATTATAGAAATACTCAAGATTTTGGAATCAACATGGGATTAGTGAAATCCTAAACTGGATTGAATTAAACAATGAAGTCTTTGAGTTTAGGTGTAAAACTAGGAGTAAAATCAGTCATTGAGTCTAGGTGTCAGTCTTACAGTGAGACCAGTCATTGTTTCTAGGTGTCAGTCTTACAGTAAGACCAGTCACTGAGTCTAGGTGTCAAGCTGATAAGACCAGTCATTGAGTCTAGGTGTCAAGCTGATAAGACCAGTCACTGAGTCTAGGTGTCAAGCTGATGATAAGACCAATCACTGAGTCTAGGTGTCAAGCTGATAGTAAGACCAGTTGTTGAGTCAAGGTGTCAAGCTGATAGTGAGACCAGACGTTGAGTCAAGGTGTCAAGCTGATAGTGAGACCAGACGTTGAGTCTAGGTGTCAAGCTGATAATGAGAGCAGTCATTGAGTCTATGCCAGTCTTACAGTGAGACCAGTCATTGTTTCTAGGTGTCAATCTTACAGTAAGACCAGTCACTGAGTCTAGGTGTCAAGCTGATAATGAGAGCAGTCATTGAGTCTATGCCAGTCTGACACTGTTTACAAGGAGTTTTTTTGTTGTGTTTTTTTATATACATGCAAATACAATTATTTCCTAGTTATGTCTTATTGTTTTGGTTACAAAAATGAGAGAGCTTTCCAGATAATATGTTGATAAGTTTGTGTACCTGTGTGTGTGTGTGTTTGATATTAGCAAGAAGTAACACCAGTACATTGTTCTTCATTACTGTTAGTTGTTGTGTTGAATTGATGTATTAGTTAAAAAATGGTATGGTTAAACTTGATTATATATTTTAAAAGTTATCACACCATTAATGGGTTGTAGAGTTTTACCCTTTTAGCAGAAATGCAACTGTACTGCAACTTCTTCACTGGTGGCTAACAAACATTGCAATGTTATTGTGCTAGAGGAGAAGGAAAATCAGCATGTGTGGAGGAGTGGGATGAGTAGTTGAATTTTAAAGTTTGAGAGATGATTTTGAAAACATATCAACAATACATTAAATATAAATAAATATAACATTTAAAGAAGTAGCAATATGAAAAACAAAGATTTAATTGGTTGCTGGTATGTTATACCACCTCACAGTGAGCAGTAAGCTGTGGGTACATTCTATGTAGTTCCTTGGCTAATTGCAAATGAACATGAGTTACATTGGGTTAAAAGGACTCATTCCTTGAACAGTTTATCATAGTTTTTATGTTTCGGTGCAATCGGCGACCTCTGTTAGCTAATGTCTGCAGTTCTAATTAAAGGAAAAATATCCAATTAATAAAAAAGCCTTAATACTAGCTCTAATTACCACTGGAAAAAAATTGGTAGTTGTTGGTAAAACTCCATAAATACAGAAGTGAAGAAAACTATACATTTTACAAATATATATGACCTAATGTAAATGAAATGTTTGTAAAACTACAAGTGTCTTTGTTTTATTCAATTCTGTAACTAGCTACAACCTTTTCAGTGTGGTTAAACAGAAATGGATTGGAACAAGCAAGGCCTTAGCAACAACCTGGTAGTCTAGTGCAACACAAAATTGATTTATGAGTATGATAACAAGTTGTAAATAAACATTGTTTGTACTGTATATTATTCAGTCTTGTTTATATAAAATATCTGAAATAATCCAAATATTGGTTAATACCAACAAGTTAGAAATGTATATGAACACAAACAAAAGTTAACAGAACAGTAAACATATTCTCTGTATCTTTTTTTGCGAGTAGTTGCAGGGGTGAAACTGAAACCAACAGCAGCTCTGAAAGATTGCTTACACTTGTGTCTTGTAATAGCAGCTCCGAAAGATTGCTTACACTTGTGTCTTGTATTATTCACATCTGTACCGTAGTTTCTTTTATCTAATTCTCATAAAACAGAATAAACAAATTAATTTTCTGGGACTTCTAGAAGTTGTTATATAATATTTCTTGAAACACATTAAAAGTTATATTACTAGATGTCATCATCATTCTTTAATTATTATATGTTTAACTGTGATGATTTAATTTCTCTAATGTTGCTAAAGGCACAAAAACGTAACTTGACCTCTGTTTGAGTGTAATTACTTGAAGGGTTTTAAAGATGAACAACAGGTGTAATTTATTTATTTGATACTGACTTAAATCATAATTAATTTTAAAATGTGTCTAACTTGTGGATGTTTTTACTTCATGTTATGTTATTGTGTTTCTTCTGATGCATAATGTTGTTTAGCAAGAACCACTGTTTAACATAAATTCAATTTATAATTAAATACTTGGGTCAATAAAACAGGAAATAATCAGGTAAACTTATTAATATCATAATAATTTATCCTTTTTTATTTAGACCAAAAGGAAGAACATGCCTTCGAATGTGATATTTGTCACTACAGTATCCCGTCCTACCAGGAGTACTCTTTTCACAGACAACTTCATCTATCTCAGCCTCAAGGATTTGTGTGCCACTTGTGTTACACAGTAATTAGCCGAAAGGATCATCTGCTACGTCATATGAGAACCCGCCACCCTCCTAACGGAGAGTCCCCAGTTTGTACTATCTGCTCTAGGTCATTCCGGGGCAGCAAGTCCCTTGCTCGTCACATGCGTGCCCGTCACGTACAGTTAACTGCTAGAGGAAATCGAAAAGTGGAACCCACGATGTTGAGCCTGTCAACAAACATTAAAGAGGATTTCACGTGTCATACCAATGACTAGATGCTAAAGGTGGTATGGTTTTTTCAAGATAACAGTGTTTTCTTACAATACCTTGGTGACAATTATCTACCAGTACTTTTTAACTTCTCAAGATTTTTTATTATACAAGCAAGTGTGTAATTTTTATTAATTATTAGCTTAGAAAAATGTAAATTAACAATGTTTAACCCATTAGTAGTAGATCCAAGAAATAGTATTGGTATATTAAAATCTATTACACACAGTACTTAACATTTAATCTTGAATTTGTTTTGTTTCCTTCATGTGTAGACATTTTTTGTTACATGTTATATTTAAGATTTAACTAAGGATATACACACACACACTTCTCCTGACTGAGTATGAAAACATAAACATGTTTTCTAAAGTTAGGAATTATGAAAGGGTATAGTATTTTGCGTTGTTTGCCGCATCAACACAGGCTTCATAAAGCCTGATTTGTTTTTTGAAAGAAAATTTTAAGTTGGACAATCTGTGTTCAGCTCTTACTTGGCTCTGGTGCTCACCAACCGAATGCTTCATCAGCCATTCAGTCTCTACTTGGTTGTATGGTTTACTATGTAACCTGTTTCACTGAGTAATCACACAAAAGTAAATTTCTTGTAAGCAATGCAGAACTCTAACTAACAGGATAGAGGCTGTTTTGTTAAAACAACTGAGACAAACATTGTTATAATTTTTTTAAACTAAAAGACATGTACGTTGAAGGGTTGTGTTAATAAACACAATGAATAGGATTTCATTGTTTAATACTGAACAAATTTGTTTCCTTCTTTTATTTTCATTCTTGAATTAAGGTATTGCTTTTACTGAATCCTGTAAAGCTATCTTTTGTTTGTTCAACTTTAGTGTTTCAGAAAAATATTGGAGTGGGGGGGGTTATTATTTTCATTAGTTTGTGTAAACTCGGTTCATATTTTACAATTGGTTTTACTTCTTAACTGTTTAACTCTATTTTAACACAATGAAATCCATGTCTTTTGTAGGCTTGTTTCACTGATTAGCAGCATGTGTTATAAGTATATTTGAAGCTAAATTAAGCTTTACCTGATTGTATGTCTTGGTTTCTTTTTTTTTTATAATTCTGTGACGTTGTTGTACAAAGATTTTGTAATCGAGAAACATTGGTATCATGTTTCAACGACATCTTTTTTACATAAGATGATTTTCATGTGTTTTAACAACTGAAATTGAATTGGAAAATAACAAATAATGTTACTTCAGTAACATCTTTAATGTTTAAGGAGGAATTGCAAGGTTTTAGGATATAAGTTATATATATGTGTTTGTATTTTGTGGTGATAGACTTGATAATATTTGCATTTAATCCTCATATTACTGATTCGTAATTTTTATGTTTTTGGTGCATAAATAGTTTGAGAATCTATTTAAAATGGTGGTGGGGTCCATAAAAATTGGAACTTCCGAGATTAAACTCATTGTAATGTTTGTGTTTAAACACTCGTTTGTTTGCCAAAACTATTTGTGTAACAATAACCTAATTTGTGTTCACGAAATTTAAATAAAGTTTTTTCGTATAAATAAAGTTGTTGACGATTCTTCTTAAAAAAAAGGAAACAGAACGAAAGTTTAGTATAGCGACAGTTTTGGTGTATGTGGGAAAATATCAAAGTGCGTGATTGGTGTATTTACTGGCTAATCTTCTGCTATTGTGGTACGCTACGCTGTTTATTCGTTCGGGTGACTCGTCTACACGCACCTGCATTTCATTTTTACTACTGCCATATTTGTGAGGAAATCTTAATTCAGTTAAGTGAAAAATACTCCTTAAACTGAATTAAGTTATTTATTTAATATCTACACATGGAAGTGGTGTAGTGTGCTGGACTGTGAATTCAAGATGTTTGTGTAGCTTTGTGTGAATATCTGAAACACACCAAGCTATTTTTTTTATCTGTCTATTTACCCATATCTTTGTACTTGCCTACCCACACACTTAAATGTTTTGTTTACTTATCATTAATATTCTACGAACTTTTCGCCTACCTACCTTCTTATCTTTCTGATTCCCCCACCCTATATATTTGTCTATCTGTAATTAGCTGTATGTCATATTACATAAAATATCTTTTTGGTTAAAACTAAATGGTATTGAACCTTAAAAAACAATTTAGATATTTATAAAGCCTCTGTTCTGTAATGAGATGTCATACACGTAAAAAGTAATTCTATTTGTTAACAGTGTATATTATTTAAAAAGCTTTTTGGAATTGTGTATCCAAATAAAGCATTCTGTGTTATTTATTAAATATATATATGAAATTTGTCAAAATTTATATACATAAGTTAGTGGCTTTGCTTTAAATTTGGTAGCTGTGTATCTACAGCATATGTTTTTAACCATTAGACTAAGTTTCATGTCCATTAAAACATGATGTGGATGTTCAAGTAAAAACATTGTGCTTGAAATTTGTGTAGAAAGTTTTTTTTAGTTAACCAGGTGTACTTATTGATTGCATCATTTTGAAAGTATTGTGGTACTCTTGTAATTTCTAAAGTGGGCTGTAGATCATAGAACGAGAAGTGTGGACTGTTATTGTGGCAGATTGTGTGGAAATGTATTTCCATAGAAAGAGACAAGTTCCTGAGTGCATATACTTAAGAGAGTGCCACAGTGAAAAAGAAAATATGACAGTAGGTAAAAAGTCATTACAAACAGAAATAATATTTATAATTGTATAGCAGTTGTTTCTCAAGTGTTTAGTTAAGTGTAGAATACCAGCTGTAAAGTTCAGTTTTTCATGTACTTCAGTACAGGAACACAATTAATATAGAAAATAACTTTTCTGGATGCTCAAGTTACTCTTTTAATTTTAACTAAACATGTTTACACTCCAGTGTGTACTGTGATACATTAAGTACAGGAACACAACGGTTTCAGCTTGTAATGATTTGTATTGGATCAGTTTTTTTTTCCCTGTAACTTTTATGTAATATTTCAGATGGAAAAAATACGTTATTCAAGTGAGTGACTAAAATATGACACATTTTCTGGATCATACACGTGCTATTGAACATCACTTGCGTAGCCTTCCTCAGAGTTGGCCAACACATCAGTAAGATGCTGACAACATTTCATTGACTTAAGATACTTAGATGCATTGTTTTTTTTAAGAGCTTCTCGAATGTCACTGATGCTGTATTTTGTTTGTACTATTATCAGAATATTATTTATTTGAGAAGTTACATCAAACATTATCTTGGAAATAGTGCTCAGTAGAATAATGTAGAAAATAGATTATTTTGGAATAATTTTCATTAGAAATGTTCTGTTTCTGTAGAACACAAGCGCCAACTGTAGATTTCAAGTAAAGAAATAATTTGTCGTCACGTTTGTTTTCAGATGGTGACCTAGTGTTGCGTCGGTTTCGGTCGTATCGTCAGGGTCAACCAAGTTGGGCAGATCGCCGTCGCAACACATGTCCTTACTGTCAGAAGACTTTCTATCATGGAGGAACATTGTTTCGGCACATGAAGATCCATGAGTTTGACCAGAAAGATACCACTGTGATATATGTGGCAAGCCATATTCCAGGAGGAACAACATGAGAAAACATGGAAAAAATGCTCATGGAACTGGCAACAAATAGCCAGGTTTTGAACCAGAAAGATACCACTGTGAAATATGTGACAAGTCATATTCCAGGAGGAACAACATGAGAAAACACAAAGAAGATGCTCATGGAACTGGCAACATGTAGCCAGGTTTTGAACCAGAAAGATACCACTGTGAAATATGTGACAAGTCATATTCCAGGAGGAACAACATGAGAAAACACAAAGAAGATGCTCATGGAACTGGCAACATGTAGCCAGGTTTTGAACCAGAAAGATACCACTGTGAAATTTGTGACAAGTCATATTCCAGGAGGAACAACATGAGAAAACATGGAAAAAATGCTCATGGAACTGGCAACATGTAGCCAGGTTTTGAACCAGAAAGATACTACTGTGAAATTTGTGGCAAGTCATATTCCAGGAGGAACAACATGAGAAAACACAGAGAAAATGCTCATGGAACTGGCAACATGTAGCCACAGTGGTAGATAGTCCATTATGAAATTAGAAATAATTACATGTGTATAACTGCACAATGGAAAGACTTGGGTCTATGAAACAGCATAAGTTCCTAAACATTGTATTGGATAAAACTATACCAACACAAGCCCTGTTTTTTGTTGTAGTTTTTGTAATATATTTAAATTAGCTGTGTTTTTTTTGGCCTAAAAGTGTATTTGTGACAGTTTTTTTATTGATATGGTAATGATGTTACTTTGCATATTAGTCTGAGAAATTCATTGTACATTAGGTATGTATATATATATATGTGTGTGTGTGTGTATGCACACACACACACACACAAGTATTTTTTGCAAGACCACATTTCAACACATTTGTTGGAGAATGATTAATAACCTAAAGACCATGTATGAAGTGTTATGTTTGTGACCTAGAAGTTGAAGATTGATTTCTGTTTTAGCCTAATATTTTGTAATCTGAGATCAGGCCAAACTCAGTAAAAATAAACAAGTTCTGTAGATGTAACAACTCAGACTGAGTGTGTACATCTAACCCTTGCCTGATTGAGTGTATTAACAGTATTTCAGGCATTAATGGCATGTGAACTACATCTAATTATGAGTCTGTTGTACTCGTTAAGTTACTAGATAGAGAAAATACAAAATAGTAAGCTGTCACTGTTATTATTTTACATCTTCAGTTACAAATTGCAAATCATGCTATTAAGTAACGGTATCCAAATAAACTATAGTTTTTTTTTTACCGAAGTCATAATGTTTGGTGATCATTTTAGTGTATACTGAATACATGTGGCAGATACCCAGTGTTGAAAAACTGTGAGTTTGTTTATGCTTCCAGAGATTGGTAATAGAAGATTTTTGTATCAGTTATATTTATATACTGTGCTGCAAAAGCCATATTTATGGGCAAAGAGGTTTCAAAAGTAAAATTTGATAATCACAAGATTTACACACATTTATTTGGTTCTTGTGCAAGAACGAGCTTGTCCTTAAAGTTTTCCCAGAATGCACCGTGAAAAAATTTTCAGTTTTTGTGAATATGCATAGTTTCTCGTGTTTATATTTAATGGTATATTTATTATTGTTTAAAAAAAAGAATGTTCCAGAATTTTCACTGGCCCTAATAATCCTACTGTGTTAGATTTATCAAATAAATCTACAATACTTTTTTAATTCAAATAATCTTTTAAAAATAATACATGTTATCAGAGCTTGGAAGTGTAACATAAATATGCACTAGAGATACAATAATACTTTGAAACATTTTCATTGGACAATGGAATTGTATGGAGGTGGTAAAAAGTTATTCAGACATCATGTAAAAATGATACCTTCATAATATTCAAGTTTCCTTACTTTTTTTTTGCTAAAAAAAATAAAGTAACCAACAGTTTCAAAGGAAAAATAATGTTCCTCTTTTTTTTTTGTATGGATTAAAAGTGAAATTACTGTATACATGCATGCATATATTATAGTTTTTACTCCTTTAAATATTCTCAGCAATGTATTTTAATTCATTTTATTACACTTGTATTTATTATATTTTGTGTAGATGGCTTCGTCAGTAACCTACGACTGAAGTGGATGACACTGAAGAAAAGAAGTGGAGCATACAGTTCTGAAGTTAAGTGTAAAGTTTGTCACCGAAACTTCCTCAACCAGCGAAATCTAGCTCAGCATATGTGGCAACATTTTTCTAACCGTGAGACACTCCATTGTGATGCCTGTGGCAAGTGTTACTCGAGGAGAGATTCTCTAAAGAGACACAGAAAACTTGCCCATGACCTACAGTAAGAAACCTCAAGTTGTGTTACATAAATACTTCTTTTAAATTTAATTGCAGTGTATAAAACACTCTTGTTTCTGCTCTGTACTTAACTCATTGGTAGTTATTGTAACATAGCTTGTTTAAATTTTATGTGGGATATTAAAATAGTATTTTCATATGTATTTTTTGGTCAAGTAAATACTAACCAATAGTCTTGTAAACATGAAATGGCTATAGTTTTAAGTCAAATTGTTCAATTAACTTTCTCATCTTGGTATTTAATTGTTTGTTAATTGATGTTGTTCCTTGTCTTCTCATAGACATTGTGTTGTATTAAAAACTGAATCAGCTGGTCACTTAAATAAGACCATTGTAACAAGAAGTACTTAATCAAATAAAATGAGGCATTTGATTATCTTTTGTACAAAGATATTCCTTCTCTGTATAGTTGGTTCCTCTGGTGTAGTAACATTCAACTCTAAGGTCAACTGTTATAAACCAACAACACAGACTGTTCAGAATATGAATTAGTTTCGCTTGTAACATCATTCAAGCTCTGTCAGGACTTCCCAAAATGTCAACTGTCAGGAGACTATTCATTATTTTAAAAATGGAAACCAGAGTATCCAACATCTCTATCTCTGTAGTATATGACATGCACACCAGATTTAAAAAGTAATAACTTATCTAGTATACTGACCATGTACAGAGGTAAGACACACCTGCAGTTGTTCTTACCATAAATGAACAGGATTTAACATAGTTCACAGCTTTTCGATGTGGAACATTCAAAACAAACTGTACTAAACTTTTGAATAATTACGTGAATAGTTATATTTTCTTGTAATTTTGAAATAATTTATAACCATAACATTTGCACATCAAGAGTTTCACTTTCCCTTACACAATAATTGTTTATACTAAAGCCTTGAAAAAATTTAACTGACATACCCTCCAGAAGTGAGCGTATCAGTATCACTGATCTTTAGACCTTTAAAAATTACCAGTTCCGAGTCCGCAAGTTTTAACTTCAGTGTAATTTATGCATCCAGTGTCAAGGTTCATAAGTACAGTATATATAGGTATGGTACTGCATCTAAATACAAGCTAAATGGAACGTACACACAAGGAGTCTCACAAATAACCATCTACAAATGTCCACTGAAAGGAGTCTCACATATAAACATCTACAAATGTCCACTGAAAGGAATCTCGCATATAAACATCTACAAATGTCCACTGAAAGGAATCTCGCATATAACCATCTACAAATGTCCACTGAAAGGAGTCTCACATATAAACATCTACAAATGTCCACTGAAAGGAATCTCGCAAATAACCATGTACAAATGTCCACTGAAAGGAGTCTCACAAATAACCATCTACAAATGTCCACGGAAAGGAGTCTCACAAATAACCATCTACAAATGTCCACTGAAAGGAGTCTCACATATAAACATCTACAAATGTCCACTGAAAGGAATCTCGCAAATAACCATCTACAAATGTCCACTGAAAGGAATCTCGCAAATAACCATCTACAAATGTCCACTGAAAGGAGTCTCACAAATAACCATCTACAAATGTCCACTGAAAGGAGTCTCACAAATAACCATCTACAAATGTCCACTGAAACATTCCTAGAAAAGCTCTCATACCTTGGATTTCCTAATAATTATCTGCAGTTGTAACAAACGTCAGTGTTCTGGGACTACATCTATTAACCACAACTTTCCTAGCTGCTGTGACCTAGCAAATCTTGAGCACAGGAGTACTTCATCCCTCCAGTAGGGTACTCAGAAGATAAAAGATCATCATATCCTTTCAGTTGCTAATCTCATAGTCACTCAGGCTGCACACGAAATAACAACCTTAACCACTAAACTCAAAATACCACGTCGGTACTTTAATGTAAAATTTATTGTAAGTTTGGAAAGTAGGGGATGAAGCTTGCTTTTCATGTTTGGATCCTGCAGCTGTTTCAACCTAACCGGCTTCAAGCTGGACCATTTTGAGTTGTAGGTTGGTGTATCTGCCAGATAGCCAGACTGGATCTTCTTTCCCTGATATGCTATCAACCATCATAAGATAAAGTACTGTGATTGACCTCTCAACCTGTGGCTTATATAACTATAGTGTGCTAGCCAATACTGTGTTTATTGTGTCCCAGCTGGCCTGATGAGTTCTAGATTGAGCGAAATAGGTTGATATTGACTACTCGGATTAATGAAAAGATATCTGGATCATGCACACTAGCGTACCACATTCTTAGGCTTCCGGATCTTATGGGATACCCCACCGCCTACCAACAGCCATATTTTTTGTCGTTGAGTCAGAGATTGCTTGTTAAAGGGGGGGGGGGTATATATTTAATAATAGTAGTAATAAATATGTTTAGACACCAAGAAACTTTCAGCTAGGTAATAATAACCTGTTAAAAGTGGTAATATAGATGATAACATCAGTAATTACTAACAGCCATTAAGAATATTTGAAAAGTAACGTACAATTTACGCTTGACTTTTGCGCTAGTTCCTACATCGAAAATAACACGTTCTTATCCAAGAAATAGCAATTTTAACCGAAGTATTTATTATTATGCTTAGATTGTGTTCATCATACTTCTGTTGTATAGCACTTGTCGTTAGTAATCGTATGATCGATGATAAAGGGTAAACGAGAATAGCATGACCATGTCTCGAGATTTTCACTTTAATGACGGATGGTTAAGATTTATTTAATTTAAAATGATTTATTAAAGACATACAGATCATACATACATATTAATTACACTAGTCGTTCGATATCTTTTGAAATAAACTCTACATAATGTGTAAATTATAAAAAAAATACAGTTGTTGGAACTTTGTTACTCCATCAAAACTTAAACTCGCGTGTACTTGTAAAAGTATAAAACTGGAACCTAAAATATATTGTTTATACAATATTTGTTATAACATACTAATTTACATTGTAAAGAACAACTGTTCACAAATAAAGCTTATTATATTTCATGCGCGTGTTATTTTAACATTTACGAACTCAAGAAAGAGAAAAGAACCTAATTAATTGAAAAACAACCGAGTCTTCATCTCCTGTAACGAAGGATTATTTACAGATGTAAGTTAAACCATCTATATACTCTTGGAATGGTAGAAAAGTAAAAACTATTCCTGATCGAGCTTAAGGTAAATACACAAGGAATGGTTGTAGCGTTAATTTTTAGATAATTATGGGATTGAAAGTTGCTAGAAATATAACTACTGGTATATGAGGATAAAGAACTTTAAAGCAGCTCAGACTTCGACACTTCCCGCCCTTTTGAAAGAGACGAGCCGAACAATTATTTCTACGATATATCTTTAGGTTTGTTGGGGCAGTATCGTTTTACGTGAACGTCCACGTAATTTTTCCATTTGATAACCAGAAAACAGTAGGGACACCTGTAGACTTTGTTGTTGTGGCAGTGTTCGTGCTGCCTGAGGTACTTCAAAGTACTAAACATCTTTCCACACTGGCCACATGGGTAAGTACTGGCTGGGGGAGACCACAGTCCACCTGAAACACCACAATATTCAGATGTATAAATATAAAAAATAATAATAACAATAAATAACTGGAAGAATATATTCAGCTTTCTGCAGTTAAATTTTTTTTTATTAATACAATTAGTTTATCATACGTCAGAGATCTTCAGCAGTTTCACACTTAGGCCTAAATACGCGTGGCACTAATCGGTTTTCATATTTCAATTATTAAGTGTGCTTCTTCATCATTAAATCAGGCGATATATAGTTTAAGAAAAAATAACTTATCACTTTACGACTAGGGTGCAGAATACTTGTGTGGTTTGTTCAAAATTGTATTTATTGTTTATTACTAATTATACGTGTAAGATATTGGTATTAGGGTATATTACATTTTTAACATTTCATTCATTATCTAATCCCTTCGGGGTTTTCAAGAATTAGTAGTGTATAATAATAACAGTATTTCAACTACACCTATTGCCGACGACGACGCGTTTCGCTCATTCCAGAGATCATCGGGCCAAGTCAGACAAAACAAACATAGTAGTAGTCGTCGGTTATTTATATTTGCCCTATGTTATAACAACAATTGCTATAGTGTGATCGCATTTTCCAAGCTAAAAACATGATTATAATTAATAATAATAGTTATCAGACATTAGTATTAGACCTGTTGTATTATTTAACACTTATGACAAGTACAATTTATTATAATGATGCTTCACCAGCTTGTAAAAGGCGTTCACACCATAACAATCGAGTTTATTATTATTTGGATATTCACTCAGTAGGCTTAAACGTAGGGACAACTAGCGTTGATAGATAGCCCTTGTGTAGCTTTGCGTGGCCATTTTGTAATACGCTTACAATTAACGTGCTTCGTAATAAACGTGGAGAGAGATTTCGCCTGATGTACTTTCATAATAATCCTAGGTTTGAACGTCGCTGTAAAACAGAAGCCAGCAATGTTATAAATAAATAATTTCAATTTATACATGCTTGAATAATAGACTTCTGAACCATAAACAATTATTTTGATATGTATACACACATAGATCACTATTTTTGGGATCCGAGTGTGGCCTAGTTGAAGCTTGTGCGGACTGTGATTATCAGGGTCCAAGGTTCGCGTCCCATTACCGAAAGAAAAGAGCTCCACGTTTTGAGTCTATGAATATGTTATATAATTAACGGTCAAATCCCACTATGCAATTAAAGTAGTTCAAGAGCTGGCGAGGGGTGTTTTTGTTTATCTGCTTCCTAAATATTAAGATTTAGAAACAGCCCGAGAAATATTAGTTTCTACAGACGCACATTAAACCTATCTGCCAAAAGCAGAATGTAAAGTGCTATAACTATTAACAAACTAAAACCTTCCGACTTGTATACGTAAAGTAGTAGCTTTACATACCTAGTCACGTGATATTTATTATAGTGGAGATAAAAGCACAGATGTAGTAATACAAGTATGTCACGTTTCTTACATTGTTTCAAAAGCATCTAATGAATATTAGTTTTGTTGTGGCATTTTATTTAATAACACATACAGCTGTCAAAAAACAAATTAAGCACAATCAAAGTGAAAATATTAGTGCAGTGTTATATTACGGATTCTTTGAACGTGACTTCTCCATCAATTCAGCAAAGTTTTAAATAAACGTACTTTAAACATATGCAAGTAAATGTTTACGACTACATATAACACGAACAATTTCAGGTTTTCGATCACTATATTTATTCATGGTCTAATCGTGTATGCGTATGAACTTGTATAATTAAAACATTCACCAGAAACAAATCTATTATTAACATAATTGCAATAATTAACGTTGTGAATAATTTAAAATGATATACAATACTATAAAATCTAAAACAGAAAGTAGACCAATGAGAAAGTTCG